CATGTGACAGAACGTGAAAGGGTCTGGAGAAGCCATGGAGAATGTTATGGTGCCGAGTAACATGTTCAGCATGACCGTTTTTAGTGGTGGGTCAGTGATGGTCGTGGGGAGGCATATCCATATGAGGGACGCACAGACCTCTACAGGCTAGACCAGCAAATGGCAAACTACGGCCACGGCGGACCTTTTAATTCCCGGGCCTCGCGGAGCTAGGCTCCTCTCTCACCGACCGCCCTGAAGGTCCCAAGCCCCAAGCACCCCCCTGTGTCAATTCACTTACCTTTGCTCCGCGCGTTCCTCTCGCCGCCGTTTTCCGCGCCGTTCCGGTGTAGCATGAAAATCTACTCCTATGAGGATCTGTCCCCCTCGAAGTATCGTATCTGCGCATGTGCCGGAGATCGCCTGAAACTGGCACATGCGCAGATACGTCGAGGGGGACAGATCCTCATAGGAGACAGATTTTCATGCTGCACCGGAACGGCGCGGGACACGGCGAGAGGAACGCGCGGGAGCAAAGGTAAGTGAATTGACACGGGGACTTAATATGGGGGATTGGATTAATATGGGGAATGAATTACTATATGGGGATGAATTACTATGGGGGATGTATTACTATATGGGGGATGAATAACTATGGGGGATGAATTACTATGGGGGATGATTACTATATGGGGGGGATGAATTACTATATGGGGGGATGAATTACTATATGGGGGATGAATTACTATGGGGGAATGAAAGATACTATATGGGGGATGAATTACTATATGGGGGGATGAATTACTATATGGGGATGAATTACTATATGGGGGATGAATTACTATATGGGGGATGAATTACTATATGGGGATGAATTAACTATAGGGGATGAATTACTATATGGGGGATGAATTACTATGGGGGATGAATTACTATGGGGGGATGAATTACTATATGGGGGTATGAATTACTATATGGGGGATGAATTACTATATGGGGGATGAATTACTATATGGGGGATGAATTACTATATGGGGGATGAATTACTATATGGGGGATGAATTACTATAGGGGGGGATGAATTACTAAATGGGGGATTGAATTACTATGGGGGATGAATTACTATATTAGGGGGCTGGTAATTACTATATGGGGGATGAATTACTATTATGGGGGATGAAATTACTATGGGGGATGAATTACTATATGGGGGAGATATGAATTACTATGGGGGGGATGAATTACTATATGGGGGATGAATTACTATATGGGGGATGAATTACTAATGGGGGGGAATGAATTACTATGGGGGATGAATTACTATATGGGGGATGAATTACTATATGGGGGATGAATTACTATATGGGGGATGAATTACTATATGGGGGATGAATTACTATATGGGGGATGAATTACTATATGGGGGATGAATTACTATGGGGGATGAATTACTATATGGGGATGAATTACTATGGGGGATGAATTACTATATGGGGAATTAATTTACTAAGCTTACTATGGGGGAATAATTACTATACTTACTATGGATGACACATACATATAATTCATCTACTCTTGGTCCGGCCCCGGGTCCAATATATGAACCCATGGCGGCCCTCGAGTCAAAAAGTTTGCCCACCCCTGGGCTAGACAATGGCACCCCGACTGCCATTAGGTATCGGGATGAAAACCTTGGACCTATTTGTCAGACCCTACGCTGGTGCAGTGGGTTCTGGGTTCCTCCTGGTGCACAACACAGCCTCATGTATCGAGAGTATGCAGGCAGATTCCTGGAGGATGAAGGAATTGATACCAATGAATGGCCCCCACTCTCGCCTGACCTAAATCCAATAGAACACCTCTGGATATCATGTTTTGGTCCATCCAACGCTGCCAGGTTGCACCTCAGACTGTCCAGGAGCTCAGTGATGCCCTAGTCCAGATCTGGGAGGAAATACCCCAGGACACCATCCGTCATCTCATTAGGAGCCTCCCCCGACGTTGTCAGGCATGCATACAAGCACGTGGGGGCTATACAGACTACTGAGGACCATTCTGAGTTTGCTGTAATTAAATTTCAGCAAAATGGACTCGCCTGTTTTGCATCATATTTTCACTTTGATTTTTGGGGCTGTCTTTGAATTCAGTCCTCTGTAGGTCGATCATTTTCCATCAAAACTATGAGGCATCCTTACATTCCTAACACATCACCCCCGTCCATATCAGTATAGAGATCCAGCAGGAGATTTTTCTACATTGAGATCTGATGGTTTTCAAAGTGTTCCTTTCATATTTCTGAGCCGTGTATATTGTTTGTTCCCTTTAGGGTGGAGCGATTGATACATATATTGTTTCTATTTCTGAACACTCATTTAGCCACGGTTCATAATAGAGCCATTTTCCAGGACCTGCAACATTCTTGCGACATGTAAAATTGTGCAAATCAAGTGAAACACACACAGATTTTAATGGGTTCAGTCTTAATTGCCGCGTCGCTGTGACAAAAAAAAAAAAATAAAAAAACTTTTTTTTGGGCAATTCTTGTACTAATTTTGGGCAATTCTTGTGCAGCACGATCCCATAGACTTCATAGATCTAAAATTGCCAGCAAAGCTACATTTGTCTTAGATGCAGCAACTTTGCTGCGACCATCTGATGCAGTGTTTTTTTATAACCCTCACCCCTCCTTCCTGGTCATCTTTACTGTTTAAAAACATCCTCCTTAGCACATTCCATTCACACCTCAACATAGCAGAAAGGAACATTCCCGCTTACTTTATTTTGTTGCATGTGTTTTCATGTGAACACACATCGCATACAGGGCAGGTCATTTCCTTGATGGGCTGCCCTACATACCGTGAACGTCTCAAAGTAGCTCAAGAATCTTTTCAGTTGTGGATCATTGCGCATTTTTGGCAGCAAAACACGTGACTGCTAAACACAATTGTGGCGTCATTAACAATTAGGCTAAATTCATATCCGAAAGCGCAGTTTGCTTCTGCATACCATTTTGCATATAACCGTTTCCAAACACATGAAACCCACACAGAAAACACATGCCGTTGCTCACCAAACGCGCGTTGCACTCATGATGCCATTTAGACTGCGCTCGCATCTGCACATTTCTGAATGCACAGCAACCCGCACAAGAAACAGGCATAAGTTTTCATAAATGCGTGGCAATGCATGTCACAATGGAGTTACCATTTAGGCTGCATTCATATCTGTGTGTTTTGTGGCAAGCCGCAGAAAAAATACTGCCGTACATCTCTAATTGTCTCAGAATTGTACAACGCGTGTCCTGCCTGTGTTACCATTCAATCCGATTCGCATCTGTGTGTTTCCAAGCGCACAGCAACCTGGAAGAAAACTCTCACGGTTTGCTGTGCGCTTCAATAACATGCTGCAATGTGCGTTGTTTACCATTCATTCATATCTGCACGTTTCCAAAGTCACGGCAACCTGCAAGTAAAAATGATGCATGATTTGCCCTGTTTAAAAAAAATGCTGCGATGCGTGTAGCACTTGCGTTTCCATTCATTCGCAATCTACGCGGCAACTTGCATGAAAATGCATGCTTTGAAAACGCATGGTAATGTGCGTCACATTTGTATTCAATTTAGCATGCATTCTGAACACGTGGTAACCTGCACAGGAAACGGGAGCTTTGCCGCACATTTCATAAATGTGCATCGCGCCTGCATTACCATTCTAGTGACACGAGTGTGTTTGCAACGCATTTGTGAAATGTGCGGCATGTTTTCTGTGCGGGTTACTGTGCATTCAGAAACATGCAGATGTCAATGCAGCATAATTGTTAATGACACCCCCCGATCACGGCTGGCAAATGCACACTGAAAAAACCTGACACTCCACGACTGAAAACATTCTAGAAATACTTTGGGGCATTTGTCGCATGTAAGGCCAAACCATTCAAGTGAAACGAGCTGCCCTGTGTGCGATCATGTTTATGCTTCAAAAACGCATAAAAACACGAGCAGGACACGCATTTCTGCTACGCTTTGGGTGTAAATGGAATGAGCCTGGGAGAAAGTTTCAAGGCAGCAAAGAAGACCAGGGAGGAGAGTTGAGGGTAAAAAATAAAACACTGATCCATCAAAGTCGCATAGGAATGTTTTTCTCATCAGAAAAGTCGCTTTAAAGCCCCATTGAACACCTGATTGCTGGGTAAGTCGTACTGCAAAGTCACGCTGGAAGTCGAGGCCACTTTCATGTCCCACTAGTGTGAAGCAGTGCTTAGTCTGACTCCTCCTCCTAGGGCGGAAGCCATTGATGGATAGATTACATTGGACACCAGCTGAGTGTTGGGCGGAGTGAACACGTCTCGGACATTCTTCTGTATTTCGGATTGCTCTGCATTGTACGGTGTGTAGATCTGCACAGATTTCGGTTGTATGATACACTCGGTGTTGGAGTTTCTCGGTTCCTCGTCTCCTGTGACCTGTTCTGCAGAAATCCCCCATAACCCTCCAGTATGGGGGTGCAGGGGAGCGGCTCATACTGTGCGGATGAACACAGACTCGGTGTGACATGTGCGATGGAAGCAGTTACAGGAAGAGAAGGAGTACAGAGGGGACCGATCTCTGAGGAGAACCTCGAGATCCTGAATGAGTCATTATTCCTGACATCACCCCAATACTCACACATGTGACCAGACAGACCCCCACATCTGCAGACTGGAGGACATGAACGACACACACTGGGATGGACAGATCATCACCGACAGACAGACCCGGCTGATTGTCAGGAATGAGGAGTCCCTATTGGTGGGATGGGAAGCCACACCCACTTTATTAAACTCCACCCACTACTGGGCAAAAGGACTCTCCTGTATTGGGTGTTATTAGGAGTGGGAGTGGTGTAAGGTGTCCGTGGGTGTGGCTTATCCCAGAAGTGGGGAGGAGTGTAGTGTCATCACTGTGTATACAGATAGGATGTATATAGAGTACAGAGATGTCACAGAGGGTGTATACAGTACAATGTATATAGTGTGCGCTCACCTCTCCTCTCCAGATCTTCTCTCCCGAAATCAACGTATTTCTTCAGCCAATCTATACAGATATTCTCCAGATAATTCTTGTCTCTCTCTCCCCCTGTCTGACCTCCGGACTGTTCCATCTCTGTGTGGTGATCTGAGCCTCATTCATGGTCGGGATATAGATCCCTCTCTGTGTGTCCAGAGAGAAGAATTCTCTCCCATCATATCCGTCCTGATAATACCCCGCAAGTCTAATGGTGCCGTCATCTCTCAGCTCACAGCCGTACATCCTCTGGAGGATATGGATCCCTGCAGAGAGAAGAGGAAGATGTGGGGTATCAGAGGGATGTCATGTGTCCAGCCATGGCTGTCCCATGTGATATGCGGTGAGGGTGTCATGTGTCCAGCCATGGATGTCCCATGTGTGACGTGCGGGGTGTCGTTGAGGGTGTCGTTTTTGTCCAGCCATAGATGTCCCATATGTGATGTGTGGTGTCGGTGAGGTGTCATGTGTCCAGCCATGGATGTCCCATGTGAATGTGCGGGTCTGTTGAGGGTGTCAAGTGTCCAGCCATGGCCCTGGCGAAATGTCCCATGTGATGTGCGGTGTGGGTGTGACATGGGACATGTACGGTGTGTATAGTACAGACACGGAGCGCTCAACAGTCTGTACATTCTACACACATCATCTGCAGCCCGGGTAGAGAACTACAAGTCCCAAGCAATCCCCCTCAAGGTACGTCCTGGGAGAAGCAGAGGAAGCGGGATCCGGACCTCCTGCACCCCCGACCGCCGTGATTGTACAACCCCCCCCCCCCCCCACTCACCCCAAGCATCCAATCATCAGATGGAAAGTACTTTAGGCAGCCTGATTTGGCTGTTTCCCCTCAAGTCTGTCAGAGAGACAAGAGGACGGGTTCCCCGTATCCCATTGCGAGGGGTGGATATGATGAGGGGCTGGAGTCCCATTGCACAACACTGAGAGGTGAGATTTACTTCTACAGAGATAAATGAAAATCGAGACATCAGTGAGAGATGCCTGAGGAGTCTGTGCTAGCGTGTATCGACTGACTGAAAACCCACCCAGGGAAGGTGATGTTTCATTGTTGTAGTGGTATACTGTCAGTGCACACAGAGTTCAGGGAGAGTTCATGGTCAGGAACTACCAAAGCTCATCCCAGTCCTGCAGGAGATGAGACTGACCACACCGGACTTCTATATAGAGATGAGGAGAGGGGCGCCCCCCCCCCCCCCCCCCGTACGATGGTGTGTGGAATCAGGGTCCTCTGCTCATACTATCCTCCTATCATTAGTAGGAGAGGAACACTGAGACAACCCAGAGAAGTTGGGTCGGCTCATAGCCAATATCTCCCCAACTGTCGACGCATCTTACTCGCCTGTTCTGTCATGCTGATTCCGATGAGGATTCCGTAGCTTTGTGGAATCATCAGCAGCCGGTGCTCGGGAGAAGATTAGCACCTTGGCGTAAGCTCTGACCATCGGGACTTCTTCCAGGTCAGTGACCCGAGAGTTCATCTCTCACCCGCGCGGACACGGCCATGATCTGCCCAGTAGAGGTCCTTATTGATGGAGAAGCGATCTATTCGTCGGCCAATCCTCTAGGAATAGGGAAGATGGCAGCTGGAACGATGAACCAGTGGTCGGGAGGGAGGGGGGGGAGGTGGAGCCATTCAGAGGGAGGTCAGGCCATGACAAGTCTACAGTGCGAGGCACCAGGCCGCCATTCTACTATCGCATGCTCGCGTCTCTCCCGATAACGCACAAAAAAACGCAACATCCTGCGCGATCGCTAGATGTGACTGGCGGCCTGAGACTGAGGTCACATGACGCACAATGAGATTGCCTTCCATGCCCTATCAGTGATATGCACTGCGGATTTTGACCTTTTTTGGAAGTTTTATGTTTGGCAATTGTTGCTTAGCAGATTAAAAACACAAAACGCATCAAAACTGCAACACGTGCGTTTTTGATGCATTTTCACTGCATTTCAGAACCGATGCAGTTTGCATTTTGTGGCGCTTGTTGTGATATTTTGCACGCACATTTTTCAAGCATTTTGAGTCTTTTTTTAGCAACTTGTGGGCAGATGAAAAGCACAAAATACATAAAAAATGCAACACATGCGTTTTTATGCACTTTCAATGCATTTCAGGCCTCTTTCCCACCAATGCAGTTTGTATTTTATTCGTTTTGCAGTGCGTTGTGTTTTGTACATGCGTTTTTTACGCTTTTCTTGTTTTGTTTTTTTGCCAACTTGTTGCGGGCAGATTAAAAACACGATACGGCTCAAAAACGCAACACATGTGGTTTTTAATGCGATTTCAATGCATTTTAGGCCTATTTCACACCAATGCAGTTCACATTTTTTGCATTTGCAGTGCGTTTTTGTGTTTTTTTGCATTTTTTTTAAGCATTAAATTTAAAATATCTTTCGCAAGAAAATATTGAGCAACTTGTTTCTGGGCAGATGAAAAGCAAAAAATGCATAAAAAATTGCAACACGAGTGGTTTTGATGGTTTCAGATGCATTTCAGGCTGATTTCACACCCAACGCAGTTTGTGTTTTGTTAGTTTGCAGTGCGTTGTGTTTGCACATGCGTTTGGACGCTTTTTGTTTTTTTGCCAACCTTGCTTGCTTGACTCAGGGACTGAGAAAAGCACAAAACTGCATCAAAACGTAACACGTGCGTTTTGGATACCCTTTTCAATGCATTTCAGGCTGTTGCTCGTACACCAGCTTGCAGCTAGAGTTTTGTCATGCGTTTTTTTTAATTGCTTTTTTAAAAAAATTTGCCGCATCTTGATTCCTGGGCATGATTAAAACCGTTGAAAAGCCTTCAAAATGTTAACGTGCGTTTTGATGTGTTATTCGAATGCATTTCATGCCTGGCTGCACACCAATGCAAGTTTTGATTTGGTTCATTTTGCGGTGCGTATTGTTGCACATAATATTTTTATGCTTTTCTTGAAATTTGTTTTTGGCCACCTTGTTGCTCAGCAGATTCAAATATGAAACACCTCAAAAACACAACACAAATGCGTTTTGATGCGATTTCAATGCGTTTCAGGCCTGGTTTACACCAGTGCAGTTTGTGTCTTGTTCTCTTTGCATTTTTTATACGCTTTTTGATTTTTTTTTATTTTTGGCCAACTTGTTGCTTGGCAGATTAAAAATGCAAAAACACATAAAACACATGAGGTTTTGATGCGTTTTCAGTGCATTTCAGGCCTGGTTCACACCAATGCAGTTTTTGTTTTGTTCGTTTTGCAGTGCATTTGGCATTTTTGACGCTTTTTTTAAAATTGTTTGTTTGACCAACTTGTTGCTTGGCAGATTAAAACCGCGAAACACCTCAAAAACGCAACACATGCATTTTTTAGCAGTTTTTTTAATGCATTTCAAGACCGTTTCACATCAATTCAGTTTGATTTTATGCGGGGGGCC